GTTGGGAGCGGTTTGACGTGCTCCCTGTGAGGCCAAGAAGGACGCGTGGCTCGCTGACTGGGTTTGGCTCCGTGAGGCCAAGCACCTGGCGATGTCCCCGAGCGCCTCGGTCAGTGTGATCCACAGGAGTCCACATTGTGCATTGGAAGAATGAGGGACACCACGGGAGACCCATTTGGCCCAAGGAGTTTTGATTCATTTCAGGCCGCGTCTGAGTGGCGACCCTCAGAGATGATCCTCTTCCTGGAAGAGGACCAATCGATCCAACTCCCTCTGGTCAAAAAGGAAGAGACCCTTTGAGTCAGACTTGAAGTCCTCGAAAATAGGGTTGTTTCATTTCCAGGAGTCTTGGGACTAAACATTTCTTGGTGAAACGCAGCTGCTCACGGATTCTAGCTCAGTCGGCCCCGGCCCGACCACTAAAAAGAACATCCAAGCCCCAGGATCCAACCAGGTTCTTTCCTTCCTCGGTCCTTGACAAGAAAACCATCTTCAAAACATTTCTTCAGACTGCCAGCAACCAAGAACCTTTCCCAACTTGGGGCCTGTCAAGGCACTTTGCTCGGTGACCCAGGCACCTTTGTCTGGTGGGCGGCCTTCCTGGGCGAGGCCATGAAAAACGGAGATGGGCGGTTCATTCGGCACACTGATATGGAATATATCCTGATGTGAGCTCATGTGGTTTTAGATATGTTTACGAATTTGCAACCTTGATTTGGGGGATTGGAACCCACTGACCAAGATTTGCCAAGTGAGTTGACACCACCAACCAACGGAATCACTTGGAATGTAGGTTGACCTCCTGTAGGTCGTCCAGTCGGTTCATGGTCCGTGGTGGATTTAACCAGGGTTGACCCACAGCCATCGGACTCTTTCCTGGAACGGGGAGCTTCAAGAGCTCGAGGCCGAGCGAATCTATGTGCCCATCTTGCCTGGCCTGGTGCTGGGGCTCAGGGGAGCTCAGGGGAGCTGTAGGGGGAGCCGTATTTAAAGTGCGCAGGTCGGCGAGTCATTTCTTGCGGCTGGAATCCGGTTTGAAGGAAAGCCGGGGCCGAAGCCACGCATTCCACAGACAAGGCCTTGCTGCTTGGGCTTTTCAGAAACTTCCATGTGGCGAGGGAAGGTTCAAATCTTCAATGGCCCAGACTTATCTGTATATTTATATATACTGTATGTATATATATCTATCTATCTGTCTGCCACTGTCTGCCTGTCTGCCTGTCAGCCTGTCAGCCTGGCTGTCTGTCTGCCTGTCAGCCTGTCAGTCAGTCAGTCAGTCAGTCAGTCAGTCAGTCAGCCTATCTATCTATCTATCTATCATGACCTCTATATAGCTCTAGAAGCAAAGATCCTCGTCTTGCTCCTCATTTCCATGGCCTTATCCGTCTATTTTGCCAATGATCAGAGCCACACGCTTGCTTGCTCGCTTGATCTCGCTTCTTTGAGATTGGGCTACCCTGGTGCAAGCTTCTCCCAGAGGATCCGAGATTTCGGCCGGGCACTGAGTGAAGACTGGTGATGGAAGATCATCTCACGCCTTGGTTTCATAAGGGTCGACCCCTCACTTGTTACATGTCACAGGCAATGTGGGGCCACTAGGGCTTGCCCCAGGCCATGTGATAGGGCCTCAGATTGACCAGTGCGGCGGTGACAGGTGCGGCTCAGATGGTGTTTCAGAGCCACCTCTTAAACATGTTCTTCTATGTTTTTCATTTGTTCCGCAAGAAGGTGAACTTGGACGGAACTAACTGCATATTGAACTTTGTTGTGTCTCTGATCTGACGTTGGCCAGCGGTTTGGGTTTGGGTTCGGGTGGGGCCTATTAACGTTCTTGTCAATGCA